CTTATCGCTTCCCCCTGGGATGGTACAGTTTCATAGATATTCTGCACGCTCGTCCATCTTAAATATGAAATCGTATCATCCCAGCCAGGCCGGGTTCTCCCCCCCCTGAGGTTCCCTTATAAAAAACACTATGCGATGACATGTTTTGTTCTAACATAGCACTTTTTCACGAATGCCTTGCAAAAAATGGGACGAAGTGCACACGCGCGCGACGTCGCGCGCGCATGCCGAACTCCTTCAAAAACCTTCGGTGCTGGCAGGATTTCGCAATCGAGTTTCCCAAAAAACACACAAAAACACATGGTTTCGCAACACTGATTTGCTAGAAAAGCTTCCGCGCGAGCTCTTGCGAAATCTTAGAAAACCATAGGTTCTTCAAGATTTTCACAACATGCTACCAAACGGGCTTCGCGCGCGCATGTCGAAATCAGTCGAACGCCCTTGCGCGTGTGCCGTCGCGAGAATCCTTTGCAAAAAATGGGACGAAGTGCAGACGCGCGCGTCGTCGCGGGCGTATGCCGAAATCCTTCAAAACCCGTCGGTTTCGGAAGGATTTCAAAATCGTGTGTCCAAAAAACCTACAAAAACCCAAGGTTTCGCAACACGGATTTCAACAAAAGCGTGCGCGCGCGCTCTTGCGTCGTCGTCGTCGTCGTCGCCGTCCTCCCTCCTCCCGCGTCGTCGTCGTCGTCGTCGCCTACGTCGTCCTCTGTCCTTCCTCGTGTTCGTCGTCGTCGTCCTCTTTGGCGTCGTGGTCGTTTCCGTCGTCGTTGTCGCCGTGGTCGTCCTTCCTCTTCCTCCCTCGTCGTCGTCGTCGTCCGTCGTCGGCGTCTCGTCGTCGTCCCTCCTATTTCGTCGCCGTCGTCGTCGTCTTCCCTCCTCCCTCGTCGTTGTCGTCGTCGTCTTCCCTCATCCCTCGTCGTTGTCGTCGTCGTCGCCGTCCTTCCTCCTTCTTCGTCGTTCGCGTCGTCGCCGTCCTCCCTCCTCCCTCGTCGTTGTCGTCGTTGTCGTCGTTGTCGCCGTCGTCGTCCTTCCTCCTCCCTCGTCGTCGCGTTCGTTGGCGTCGTCCTCGTCGTCGTCTTCGTCGTCGTCGGCGTCGGCGTCGTTGTCGTCGTCGAAGTCGTCGGAGACGTCGTCGTCGTAGTCGTTGTCGTCGGTGTCGTCGTAGTCGGCATTAAGATGTTTTGCAAACCAAGTTGCGGGTGGGTGGGTGGGATGTTTGCGCGAGCAGTGGAGATGACGACTTCAAGTTCAGCAGAGTGGATTGCTAATAGATTGCACCACGTGTAGTGTATTACACAATATATCCACATGTGCTGTACTATAAAAAAAATCGCGCAGCATCTACTGCACCACAGAGGTCGCACAACACAGGTGGCACAACATAGAATGCAGAACATATATTGCACAGCATATCTCGATTATTTTCTGGTAAAAAGGAATGAGGACCCACCACCACCCCGAGGCTGGGATCATCGTTCCCCCGTTGGGGTGTGTGCAGTTTACATGTGGTTCTGCCCCATCGTTCGTTAGATCTGAGCTCATACCACCGCAGCCCCGCTGGGAGCAACCCCCAAGCACCACCCTCTGCAACACAACACTATGCGCGCACATTTGTTCATCTGAAATCATCCATCGGCAAAGGGATATCTTGCACAACGTGTTGCGAAGTGCACACGCGCGCGTCGTCGCGCGCGCATGCCAATATCCTTCAACAACCGTACGGTTCGTACGGAATGCGAGTTCGAACACCCCGAGCACATGTAAAAACAACAAAGCGTGTTCCATCATGATGCTTCAACCAAGAAAATCTGCGCGCGCTCTTGTGAAGTCCCCAGAAGAACCTTAGGTTATCAACAATTGCATCGAATGCCTTTGCCCGCGTACGGGGGTGGCGAGCACTTTTCTCTTCAAATGACACTATGCGGTCCACTCGCGCGCGTCGGCCGCGCTCGCATGCCGAAGTCCTTCCAAAACCTTCATCATCGACACGTGGGCACCGTCATCTCTGGGCCGCGCACATGCCGCCAGCCATGATTTGCGCCGCCCCTTTCTTGGACGCCCCCGAGTGTAGCCAGGACCCCAGTAAAGGGGAGCTGGTCAGTGATTCGGCCCCGAAGCCCAACATATGAACTGGGCTCACTGAAACAAGGTCTGTCGCAGCTGGAGTTTTTCTGTTGACGGCAGTTCCGGTTAGCGGAATGGGGGTGGGGCGTCCCCCAGTACACATCATTTAAACCAAGTCCCATTCAACCAAGTCCCGCCAACGCCCGACCAGTGCCTCTGGGACTTTCTTGGAAGGAGCGCCATGAGTCCGGGGCGCACTGGATATGGATACACAAATCGAACCTCAATGAGGACAGACTTTTGTTCATGTCCAGTGCGCTTCCAGTCTATGGGGAAGGGCGCCGGGGACCCCAAGTTGCAGTTGATGTGGACACAAGTCTTGCCCGCATACAACGCTGGGGTGTGTGGTTTGCGATCTGCGCCGTTGGGGCTTGGGGGGTACCGCGTTGCCCTCGTCGGGCCACTTCGGGGCGCGGCGAAGGAACCCTGTCGGGGTCCTCGCCCGCCGCCCAGGGGGCGGGTGGCAGACCACACCCTTTGCAAGCCACAGGTTTCGGCCTCGCTGACGTTGGCGAGGGCCCCACAGGTACAACTTTTCGAGGCGGGGATGTGTCCATGACCTCCGACCAGGGGAGCCATCTCCGGGGACCTCGGCAGGCGGCGGATCTGCACAGCCCAGGGGGCACCCCAGAGAGGCAGGAGGTCGGGAGGGGGGGCGTAGCGCCCCGCCGGGGAGGAGAGGCAGGCGATCACATTTGACGCTCTCGCACTGGCAGGCCTGAAGAAGGTCCGGGGAGCGCGGCTTGAAGAAATGCTGCCGAGTTGACGGTAGGAATCTTTCAGTCTGTAGCGCGCGGCGGTGGCAACAACGGCTTGCACCACGTCAGCTGAGGCCTTCTGCCGCGTCCCGGCGTGCAGGAGATGCCCGCAGCTGCTTGCAGCAGTGCAGCAATGGCAGGCCCCCCGTAGCAGCCACCCACTGGCCTTACGTCGGGCCTGTCCCCATACAAAGGGGTTTTCGACGAGAAATAAAAAATACCCCCAAAATAGTCAAACAATAGTTCAAAAATGGTTTTGGGGATTATTTTTTTTAACTATTTTTAGACCTTCTTGGCGTATTTTTTTGGGGTATTTTTCATTTTTCGTCGAAAATCCCCCTGTAGGGGGACACGCCCCACTTAACACTGGCCTCCTCTTCCCCTCCTCCCCTGGACGCCCCGCCACGGCGCTCCCCCCGTGCCCTCCAGGCGGCCCGTGTTGCGCGTCGTGTTCGGCGAGGGTTATGTCGGGCGTGTCCCCCATACAGGAGGATTTTCGACGAAACAATGAAAATACCCCTAAAATCGTTCCAAAAGGCAAAAAACAGATACGCAAAAAAATACCTCCCAGACTATTTTGGGAGCATTTTTGTGGTATTTGTGTTGATGATTTTTGGGGTATGTTTTATTTTTTTTTCGTCGAAGATCCCCCTGTAGGGGGGCACGCCCGACACGAGGCAGGGGTCCCTCTCGTGCTTTTCGGCAGGGGATCCTTGCGGGATCCGCTGCCTCGCGTCCCCAGTTGAAGGGCCGCCTCGCCCCCTCGGCCCACGCCCGGCCTCTGGCTGCGCGTCCGTTCTGAGGGGCGGCTTCCCGGTTCAGGCACACGCCGGTCGTTTCGGGAGCCTCGAGACGGGGGTCAGTGCAAACGGGGGTCAGCCAGGGCGCCAGATCCTGCAGGATCCTGCAAAGACCCCCTCTGGCTGACCCGGGTTAGGGAGCCGCTCGTGGCCGCGAGGCGGCCGCGCCTATTGGCTGACCCGGGTTTGCGAAGATCTGCGTTGCAGTTTTTTTTTCCTGCATTGCAGTTTTTGGTTTCCTGCTGACCCGGGTCTGGATTGACCCGGGTCAGAAGATCCCCGATCGTTGAAAGTAGGTATTTTTGGATTCCCAGATCCCAATCTACTTCAAACGCCTTCCTACTTCAAGAATCGGCATGCTTTTGCTGTGTTCTGTTGTCCTCCGGGAGGGTCTGGACCCAATCTACTATATCCGCCCTCCTACTTCATGTCTTTACCTACTTCTTCCGACCGACGTGTACAAGGTCGTTCTCCACACGGCCTTATTGTGCGGGTGTGTCGCTGTTCGTCGATTTTCGTTGGGAGCGCATCCAACCACACGCCCATGCTTGGCGTTGTACCCAGTCTTTTCGTCCAGCCTCCTTCAGATTCCCCTACAAATCTGGCTTCTATCGGTCGACGCTTTTCGGCGTCATCTCCGTTTCCACGGTGCACCTAGTGTTTTTTTCCAGCCATTTGGCATGCATGATTCCCGTTCCAGGTGCAGTTGTTTTTGTCGGACCGTTGTTTTGGTGCGCTATCCCCTGACCCCGGGGCCCGCCGTGCTTCGGCACCCACGAGGTCATCCGTCTCAAGTTGGCGGCCCCGCTGCTTGGGCGCAGCTGCGTGTGCCTCCTCGGCGCTCCCGCGCCAGCCTTCACGGTCTGATAGGGCCCCTGTGTTCCTCAGTTTGGTTTCTTTTCTCTTTCCTGTTCGTGTTTTCATTCGTTTCTCGGGCCGGACGAAAGGGGGGGATTGGGAAAGGGGGGGGTACGGCATTTGCTGCATGCTGCTGGTTTCGACCCCACCGAGGAGCCCATTCCTCGATACATAGCCGCCTCCAGCGCCGGGAGGCGCTGGGAAAATCAGCTACGTGAGCTGATTCTCAAACCCCCCCTTTGCTATCCCCCCCTTTTCGCCCGACCCGAGTTTCCAGTGCAGCCCACCGCTCGCTTCGTCTGACGCCTGACCGTCTCGCACACCCTGGCGCCCGCGGACTTAAAAAGCGTGGCCACATGTCGATTGTACGGCGACGGTGATCGCCCGTCGGGTTGTGCTTGTTACCGCGGCCACGATCTCTCTGTTGTCCGCGACTCACGGCCGCCCTTGCCGCGAGGTGTCCCTCACGTTCGACGCCTTGTCGCTCGTGGGCGACGTGCAGCAAGTCGTGGAGCTGGAGCTGTTCGGCGCTGCAGGCCACGGTTTTTGCTCGGCCAGCCTCACTTTGCGCGGGCATTCAGGTGACGCCGTCGATGCCGAATCGAAGACGAGGGGCCAAGCCTTGCAGGGCGTTCCTGGAGCGCCCGCTCTTTCCAGGCCTTTCCCCCCGGGTGGTTTTTCGCCCAGGGACCGCCCTTCGAGGGACCCCACCAAACGGGGTGGCGACCACACCGTGCGGTGAGTCGGCGGGGATCCGGGGTCACCGCACGGTTTTGGGACTCGGGTCGTTCTCCGAGGACGTCTCGGGCGACGGGGGCCTCCGGGGTCCCCTGACCGTGCGGTGACGGACCGTGCGGTGAGGTCTCTTGGGGGATTTCGAGGTCACCGCACGGTCCGTCACCGCACCGCTCCGGGACTCCAAGGCCCTGCGCGCGCGAAGCAGCCAGAGTTCAGGAGGGGAAAAGCACACAGACACAATTGATCGTCGGCTCCCCAGAAAATATGTAGGAACATGTGGGAAGTGGGGGGGAAGACAAGAGCCCAGAAAATATGGGGAAATATACTCCAGATTTCGTAATACAAGGGAGGGAGTCTGGACCCTCCAAGACAAGCCATTTCAGACCCCCCCCCCGTGGGAGAACCCTCCAAAACATCGTCCCCAGACCCTCCCAGGCCCTCCAAGATAGCCTGGAAGAGACCCCCCCCGAAATGAGACCCCCTCCCTTTTATTACGAAATCTGGAGTAAGGGGACCCTGTGATTTGTGTGTTTTTGTTTGCGTGTCCCTGGGCCTCTTCAGCAGAGTGGTCACCTTTCTCCTTCCCGGAGGCGCTCGCGCGCGCCCGCGGCTCGTGCTTGGCTAGGGGGTGTTGCGGCAGCCGAGCGCCCCGCTGCCCTCGTGGGGTCCTCGGCCGCGTGCAGCGCGAGGCCCAACGAGCCTGTGCTGAGGCTTTATGCGTTGCGTGGTGCGGTGCGGTGTTGCTCGTCTCGGGTCAGGGGCGACAGAGGGACGTACATGTATATGAATCCACGCTGGTTTCGAAAGTGCGCATCACGCGCACGGGAACAACACGAGGTTGGCCTCGCGGATTGGGGGTGCATGTTCATGTACGCGGCTTGGCGCGTACGTCCAGTGCGGGCTTCTTATCGCGGACGGGTAAGCATTCTGGACGCCCGAAATGGGTACCGAAAGAATGGGTACTATGCCCAACAGCAGTTCCTGTTCAATTTGAACAGGATGCGCTGCCCGCGCCGCCGCGGCCTGTGTCCATTCGAGACAGGAGGCCGCCCGCCCAACAGCGGCCGCTGTTGGTTTGGGGCAACATTTGCTGTTGGGCATCGTACCCATTCTTTCGGTGCCCATGTCGGGCGTCCAAAATGTAGGCGCACCCTTCGGCGGCGAGCAGGGGGAGGGGGAAGCGAGAAGGCCTTCTCGGAAGATCGGGGGCGGAAAAGAGGGTGGTGATGACTAGGGGGGGGTGGATATCATGGCGGGGGCCATGCTATTTCCCCAGATCTCACGGCGCCTCTTCTTATTCCATTACGTCCCTGGCCCCCCCGCCGGTCCGCGCACATGCCGACGGTCATGATTTGCACCCCCCCCTCCCACCAAACCACCCCAACCCAACCCGAAGGTCTCGATTTGCCCTCCATTTCCAGTTGGGGGGGGTCGGGGAACATCGAGAAAACACATATGGAACCCGTACCCCCCCCCAACCCGAAATTCGGGTCTTCGGGTTGGGTTGGGGTGGTCTGGTAGGTAGTCAGAGGCCCATGCAGGCGCACCCTTCGGCGGCGAGCGGGGGGAGGGGGAAGCGAGAAGGCCTTCTCGGAAGAGGCTGTGTTCTGTCTTCGTCAGAGCGTGCATTGCCTGCCCCGCTTTCGCTTCCAGGCAGAACCGAGTCGTACCACGCGCCTCCTCGGCAAGCGGCCTGACCAGTACAGGCCGCAGCTTGGCACCGCTGGGTATCTCTTGGAAGCGAGGGTGGTCAAAAGCGAGGTAGGCTTGTTTGCCGCCTACTTCGGGGAAGTGAGAGGGAGAAGGCCTTCTCCAAGAGAGGTTGTTGTCTGTCTTCGGGGAGGGTTTCCTCTCAGATGGCCCGGGGAAGTGAGAAGGAGAAGGCCGGAAGCTGGGCGAGGGCTGCTAAGACCGTGGTTGCTAGAAGGGCCCTTCCGGAGGAAAGAAACAACTTCCCGGAAGGAGGCGCGGCCCGCGAAACAGTCAACGGGCTTCCTCCCGGAAGGACGCAGACAATTTCCTGGAGGTCGATTTTAGCAGCCACGGATCTAGCAGCCCTCGCCCGGCTTCCGAGAGCCGATGGTGTACCTCTTTAGGCTCGGCGGCCGAGCGCGAAAACTCTTGGCGCAACCAATGGAGCGCCGATTTGGTTTCGAACGCCGAGCACACAGTCCGTGGCGCAACTGGCAGCCAGCCGGCTTATGGTCCACAGCCGCGTGTTCAACATCTGGCGCAGCAAACACGAAAGCGTTTCGTGTCCGGCCGCCGCATGCAATGAATAGCACATCGTCACATACTCTTGTTGTGCGACAGCCGAGTGGCCTGCCTTCGACGCAACTATTAGCGGTCTGGACTACGTTTTGCAGCCGGATGCGAATCTCATTGCGCAACCAGTAACGAGCCGTTTTGTTGTGGCAGTTCAGTGTGCACACTCGATCGCATATTGACCCGTGGTCGACCGCCGAATGCGCAACCCATGGCGAAAGCAATCACACGCAATTCATTGCATGTTTGCCCACCTAGAGAGTCACCTATGGCGCAACACATGATATGAAGCCGTTTCGTTTCGGCTGGTGATGGCGCAATCAAGAGGGAAACTAACCTCACGCAGTTTTGCATCGGGCAGGCCAGTGCACACTTCACAACGCTAGCAGTAACAGGTCGGTCCATGCTTGGCAGCCGAGGTCGCAACTTATGGCGAAACCCATGGCGCATGCCATATGTGACTCATCGCGCATTCTATAGCGCAACCCATGGTGCAACCTAGGACCTAGACGCGACTCGCATTGAAGCTTGAACTTGTGGCTCCACCCATAGCGACATCCATGGATGGATGGCGCAGCTTACGGCTAGCGCAACCAATCGCGCAACCCATGGACCGCGCAAACAATGGTGCAACCCATGAATCGCGCAGCCTGTGGTGCATCCCATGCACGGGTGACGCAATTCACGGCCCAATCGACTGGTGGCACATCTTCTGGCAGTTTATTCTTCAGAATTGGGTTCGATGTATGCTCGCAGTTTGGGCTGGCGGTGGGGCCCGAGCGGCGAGCTGGGTCGCGATTTCGAGGCATGAGAGCCCAGAGCTCGAACCTCCCCCGAGGTTGGCTCGCCATCCCCCGCAGTTTGTTGTTGTCCATCGTCGGAGATCACTTGCATAACTCAATAGGTTTCCAGATGGGGTCCAAGTACAGTAGGTTCATGCGGCGTTGGCGCGCCGGCGACGCCGGCGAGGGCGTTCAAGGTTGAATTCTGCGGAACGGAAGCACCGAGGGACACGGTGACACCATTGGACCCGATGGAATTCAATTTTGAACGATCGGGGCCGCGATCGATTCAAGGTTGAACGATCGACGCGGTGTCAGAAACCTTTGCCCACGCCGACGCCGCACGAACCTACCGTAGATGGGGTCGGAGGATCGCGCCGCATCGCCGATGCTGGGGCGATGCGGCTCGACGCAGAGCCCGATGTGCTTCGCACCGACGGCGCCGGTGCATCGCCGACTTTGCCGATGCGTCGCCAATGCATCGGGGATACACCGACGAAGCGGGGTGATGCTCCGACATCTATTCCGACCGCGTCTGGGAGGCCTGTTTCAGCGAGCAAAGAACGGTATAAGATAAACTTTCCGCCGTCGGGGACACCTGCCCCTGGGCGGCTGGAAAGTTTATACCCCTACGGTGCCACCTGCCCCTGGGCGGCTGGAAAGTTTATACCCCTACGGTGCCACCGTAAGGGTATAAGCTTTCCAGCCGCCCAGGGACAGGTGCCCCCGACAGCGAAAAAGTTTATCTTACACCGTTTCTTCGCCCGTTAACTGTGACATAGCAGCGGGAGTCAGAGCTGACGGTGCTCAGCCGGTGCCCCCCCCCCCCCCTGGCTGACCCGGGTCGGGGAGCCACGCGGGGCCGAGCTTCTTGTCGGCCCTCCGTCGCAGGCCGAGAGGTTTTGACACCAGCACCAGGATCGGCGGTGTGCCTCCGCCGAGGGAAGACGATCCCGATCTCGGCGATGGTGGTCATTCGGGGGTGGAGAGACCTCCTACCCTGACACGTCGATTGAGGAATTGGCCGTTTTCGATCCGCGAGAGGGCGCCGCGGCCGTCACTTGTGCGGGTCCGGGTCCGCCGGTTTCGGTCCCAGGCCGTTGTCACTAAGGGGAGGTCTACTAAAGGGCGGTTTGTCCACCGCCGAAAGACGATCCCGGTCTCGGCGATGGTGGTCATAGTCTTGCTACCAAGGTGACCGAAACATTGCCACCAGCACCGGAAATCTACACCTGGGCGATGCTTAAGAAAACCCAAGTTTTCGGCCAGAGTCTCGATTATTCTTAACGTTTCAATGTAAATCTTAAGATTTTAATAGAAATGTTGGGTTTTTATTCAAGTTCTGAGACTATGAATTTCTGAACCCATGATTTCTTAAGCATTTCGCAGGGTGTAGGATCAGCTCCCGCCTTGTGGAGGCAGTGCCTCGTGTTGGTGTCGGTGCCAATGTCTAGGCCTCCAGAGCCCCGCTGGCCCAGGCTTGGTAGCGTGTGGGGCAGCCAGTCTGGCTTCGCGGCAGGGCCATGGTTGTGACCCAGGTGTGTGCGCTGGCCCAGGCCAGTGCGTCCCCGGTGTGGGTCCAGAACGGTCCGCTGTGGGAGGCCGAAGGTTTGGCGAAGCCGTCTATAGCGAGGTTTGCTCGCTTTAACTTCTGCTGCGCCATGGCAGTCTCTAGCTAGTCGACAGGAAGTGCCACGGCTGACCCAGGTGTGTGCGCTGGCCCAGGCCAGTGCGTCTCCGATGTGGGTCCAGAACGGTCCGCTGTGGGAGGCCTAATGTTTGGCTAAGCCGTCTATAGCGAGTTTTGCTCGCGGCGTTGTTCAGAGCGTGCATTACCTACCCCGCTTTCGCTTCCAGGCAAAACCAAGTCACACCACGCGCCTCCTCGTCAAGCGGCCTGACCAGTACAGGCCGTAGTTTGGCACCGCTTGGTATCTCTTGGAAGCGAGGGTGGTCAAAAGCGAGGTAGGTTTGTTTGCCCCCTAGTTTTAACTTCTGCTGCGCCATGGCAGTCTCTAGCTAGTCGGCAGGAAGTGCCATGGCGCCATGGCAATGGATCTCCACCGAGTTGCCAGCGACCGCTCCCCGCGACAGGCAAGGAGCCCGCCTTCTTGCTGCTGGACGGCGCGTCGCTGCCACCCCATCTGCCTCTCCACCTCGCCGGCGCCTCATGCCCAGGTCTCCCCGTCGTCGTGGTAGTTGGCGGGAGAAGGGATGGGAAGGACGATCGAGTTCGGAGAATCGATCCTCGAGGATCAGATCGTCCTTTTGTTGAACCTCCTGGGGCGCTTTCGTCGCCGCGGCTGGATCCGCTTCGAATTCCTGGCCCGGACGCACCCGATGGGTCCGTGGGTCGATGTCTGACCCTTGATCCTCCTGGATCTCCTCGCGTCGTGAACGAAACAGCGCAGGAGGGCTTCTGACAAGTTCCGGCCCGGGGTCCCGAACCGAGCCCTGGGGCCGTCAACGAAGTTGTTGCCTCGGATGGGAAGCCGGCCCCGGGCCGAAGGCGTCGAGAGGCTCTTGGGGGTAGACCCGCGCCGTTGCAGGGTCAAAGCGTTGGGGTTCCGAGCTCGGAGCGGGGCCATGATCGGAGGAGCGGCACGAGGTCGTGGTGATGATGCGTTCCAGGTAAAATAGGGCTAGGATCGGGATAAATCGCTCCAGAGCGTTCCGGAGCGCTCTCAGAGCGTTCCGGAACGCTCTGGAGCAGCGGCGGCGCCCAATACATCCTCCAAACCCGCCGATTCTCAGAGATTTCGAGTTATCCCGATGCGATTTTGTCCCGATCCTCGCGTCTTTTTACCAGGATGACTGGGATGCCCAGGATCAGAGGAACGGAAAATGACCACATAGAAATTCGGAGGTGCGCGCGCTCGGGACCCCCTGGCGGCGCCTCCGGCGCCAAGGGGGAGAGGGTCCAGCGCCGATCCGAGAAATACACGCGGACTTCCGAGTTTTTATGTTTATTGATGGGCCTGTCTTGCACCACCACCACCACCACGATAAGTTGGAGGGAGGAGGGAGGTGGAGGATGAGGAGGAGGAGAAGCAGGAGGAGAAGGAGGAGGAGGAGGAGGAGGAGGAGGACCCCCTCCCCCTCCTGCTTATGGTGGTGGTGGTGGTGGTGGTGGTGGAGAAAAAAGCAACCATTCATGTCATTCTTCGTTCCCCTGAGGATGTCCCAATGTCCCACGCTGGCTACAGAAGCGAAGGGCCGCCGGATGCTCCAGAGTGTGCGCTCCTGGAACGCATCATGAGCCAGTCTCAGCATGGCGTAGGAGGAGGAGGAGGAGGAGGAGGAGGAGGAGGCGGAGGAGGAGGAGGAGGAGGAGGAGGAGGAGGAGGAGGGGGAGGATAAGGAAAACGAGAATGAGGATATGGAGGAGGAGGAGGAAGGGGAAGAGGAAGAGGAAGAGCAAGAGGAGGAGGAGGAGGAGGAGGAGGAGGAGGAGGAGGAGGAGGAGGAGGAGGGGGAGGATTCTCGTCCTTCACAGCGGGCGACCCTCCAGGCCGCCTGGAGGGATCGGGGGGGGGCCTCTCGGGGGGAGCAGGGGGCGCCCCACCAGGACGCGCCGCGCCGCCGATGGCACCCCTGACTTGAGAGGAAGCGCAGGCACGACGGAGTGCAGTGGAGACCTTTGCAGGGCCCTTTTTTCACCGTTTCCAAAAAAATGTCCTCCCACTGAGCGGGATAACCAACGGCATCAGCAGTAACTTTTGGCGCTCCGCGCGCATGTTTCGTGGATCTGCGCTGGACCCCCCTCCCCGGCGCGCGGAGCGCGCCAGGGGCGGCGCCGAAGGCGCCAAGGGGGGGGGGTCTCCAGCGCGGATCCAAGAAATCCGCGCGGAGCGCCGAAAGTGTATGTCTATGGCATTGTTCCTCCTCCCGCTGCCGTCACTTCCGGCACCCGCTTGGCTCGCATCCGCCTGAAGAGCTCGGCGCCCCGGGCCGCCGAGCGCAGCCCCAGGGCCGCGAGCGACGGGGCGGTGGCGCCCGGCCGCTCGCAGAGGCGCAGCAGGGCCTGCGCTTTTGTGGGCCTCGGAAACGGCCCGGGGAGCCGCAAAATGGAAACGGCAAAAAAAAATGCAAAAAACTGCAAAAAAAACGGCTCCAGGATTCGAACCGGAGCCAGAACCGGTCCAAAAACGGCGACGGAACCGGTGAAACAACGGCGTGGGAACCGGTAAAACAACGGCAAAACGGAACCGGCAACAAAAACGGCCCTGTCGTTTCCAGGGCCCACTAAGGTGGAGACCCATGCCCAGAAGCATCCTACTTGCTTCCAGAGTGCCCTGGGTTTCTTGGGTTTCGATTGGCTTTGCCATGGAGTCTCAGGGTTGGGTTTCTTGTGGAAGGTTTCTTGTGGACAGGCCTCCACTGTAATGGACGACCTCCTCTAAAAACCGCCCCCCCCTGCTTCGGCTACTTACCACTTCCGCCCCCCAATCCATGGGAGGCGCCTCAATATTCCGGCCCCCCCCTCCATGAAGAACAAAGATTTCCAGTTATGGTGGTGGAAATGATTGGGCGGCGGTTGCGCGATGATGACAGCATGGTGATCAGAACATTGTCGATCGCGATATCGACAACATTTGTGATCAACATGGCGACAACCATGATCGTAAAAATGATGGTGATGTACAGGCGCCATCTACAATGGTAGCGATTGCGGTTGCGGCCCCAGGGGTACGAAGGCAACAACAATTATTTCAAGGCAGCAATGGCGAGAACGAGCGGGGAGGAGTGGGGAGAAGTGCGGACGAGGGCGGAGGAATTGGGAGCATCGGAGTTGTATGGAACGGGGTGGGGAAGACTGGGAGAGGTGCGACGGAGTGAAAGGCAGCGGAATGATTGGAGTGAGCAGGAATGGGAAATATGTATTGAGAAGGGTGTGGGGGGAACACTCCTCCGCGTTCCCCCCCCATTTTGCCACACTCGGTTCCCCAGTTCCCCCATTCACCCCCGCTCCTCCGTAAGTGCTCATCCCCACTCTCCGCCCCTCCCTTCTCATCACATCCCATTCAAACCCAATCCTTTCCCATTCTCCGCATTCATCCGCGCTTCTCCCAACTCCTTCCCAATCGTTCCCATTCCCCCTATCCCTCGCCACACCACTCCTATTCCACCCCGCTCCTACCCCACTCTACTTGGTTACTCGAGGGACTGGCAATTGAGCGTGACATCTGTCCCCTGTGTCCACATTCGAATTTGCGTCAGAAGTGTTTGCATTGGGGGCATGCTGCCGTGTCCGCGTCTGCATGCGCATGCCTGAACTGTTCGTGCGTTGATCTGCTTAGCTCGGGGGCCCCCAAACGGGGTGGTGACCACACCGTGCGGTGAGTCGGTGGGGATCCGGAGTCACCGCACGGTTTTGGAACTCCGGTCGTTCTCCGCCGAGGATGTCTCTGGCGACAGGGGTCTCCAGGGTCCCAAGACCGTGTGGTGTCGGACCGTGTGGTGAGGTCTTGGGGGATTACGAGGTCGCACGGTCCGTCACCGCACCATTTCGGGACTCCAAATTAGCGTCGCATCACAAGTAAACTATAAACAGTTTGCCGCGATTGGCACAAACAAATAACATATCACAGCATTCGCGGTGATGGTGACGCGTTGGATGATACATGTACATGGCGATACGAAATGCGCCTTGATAATCTGGCCCCCTTAGCTTCGGTCAGGTGAATCCGCCTTACTAAATTGGCCCCTTCCCCGCCCTCCGAAGAGGCGCCTTCATAAACCACCGGCCCCGGGGGTCGTTTGTAGAGACAGATGGGCCAAAGCATGTGGTTCATCGGCAGGTTCCGTTCCCAATTCGGCGCGCTCCCTCGCCCATTCAGGCGGCATTGGCCTCATGTTCTGGAGGTTACGCCACAGCGCCCGTATACACAGCAACGGCTGCGTACATACACCACAAAGCCTTTGTACCCCATACAGCGGGAGCGCGTGCCAAGAAACCAGTTGGACTTTGCCAGGGTGCCCTGGGGCTCTTGGATTTTGATGGGCTCCCACTCAGATCCTGACGATTCTCGATCGACACATGTGGATTTTCACTGAACAAATCGCGTATTTCAGGGTTGGGTTTCTTGCGGAGGTTTCTTGTTGCCGAGCCCCCACTGTAGCTGCAGCAGCAACCGAGTATGCGTGCACCACCGCCGTTTACCCCACAGTGCCTGTGTACACCACAGCAGCCGTGTGCACCACGGCGCCAGTGTGCACCACGCTGCCTGAGCACACCACGTCGCCCGTGTGCACCACTGATGCTGCTTCAGCACCATGTGTGTGTGTGCCTTCCCCGGCCAATGCATGTGGCGCCAACGCGCCAGATCCACGGATCCCTGATCCACCATGCTAGCATAAGCTTGATTGGCAAAAGGACACGCCGACACAGAGCCGAGGGTTAAGTCGGGCATGTCCCTCTGCAGGAGGAATATTCAAAAATAGTCAAAAACTAGTCTTGGGACTCTGTTCCGGCCAACTTACAATCTTTTTGAATCGTCGTTGACTTTTTTCCGGTCTTCTCCCAAAATCCGCCTGTAGGAGGACATGCCCGACCTGCGCCGGGAGGGGTGAGTAAAGGGGGACCGAGGACAGAACGGCGCGCAGGCGCAAACATCTGGGCGCCCGCGGGCGGTTTCTCGACCCGCATCCTTGGGCGGCACTGCGCCCGCGGCGCCGTCCCTGGCGCGCGGAAAGGGGTCTGTGTCGGCGCGTTCTGTCGCCCCCTCCTCCCTCCCCAGGAGGAGGGCGCCGCACTGGCTCTCGCGCAGCCCGGCAGGGTGATGGCCGGCCCTTGCGCAGCGTCGGTGCCGTGGCCTGCACTTGCCTCCTCACGGCGCCCCCCCCGCCGTGGGCGATCGTGCCCTGTCACCCCATGCACGCGTCGCGAAAGAACGCGGCGTCCACGGCCTCGCCGTACTGCAGGTCACAACTTTCTGCAGTGGATCCACGCCCGCATTGTTGGCACAGTGGATGGTAAGTGTGCGCGTGAGAGAGAGGGAGAGGGAGAGAAAGGTCAGGGCAATGTTAGGGGTACGGGCTCAGTGCGGCATGCATCGACATTTAATCACCCATTCATCACCGATAGAGGTTCAGTAGCCCACCCTGCCCAATAACGAGTAGATCTCCTGTCGATTGTCGATCGCCTACGTATCTATCGGCGGTGCATCGCTGATTCCAGCTGTGTGTTCCCCACCCTCCTGATCCAGCCCCCCGAACGATCCCGCGCAAGAGCGAGATGGAGAGAGAGAGAAGGAGAGCGGCAGAGATGCAGACGAGAGCGAGAGAGAGAGAGGGAGAGAGAGAGGGAGAGAGAGGGAGTGAAAGGGAGAGCGAGAGAGGGAGAGAGAGAGAGAGAGGGAGAGAGGAGAGAGGGAGAGAGGGAGAGAGGGAGAGAGAGGGGAGAGAAGGAGAGCGAGAAGGAGAGCGAGGGAGAGAGCGAGAGGGAGAGGAGGAGGGAGGGAGAGCGAGGGAGGGAGAGGAGGAGAGGCGGAGAGAAGGGGAGAGAGAGAGGGAGAGAGAGAAGAGAGAGAGGGAGGGAGGAGGGAGAGAGAGGGAGGGAGAGAAAGGGACCCCCTTCCGGGAATGGTTGAGTTTTTGTTTCATGTTGGAATATCCTCAACCGTTCTGTTTTGGGCGCGTTTCCGGGCTCATTTTTAGCAGCCGCGCCTTTGGTAATCTCGCTTTCCATTGTGGCTATACCGTGGGCCAGAAGGCTGGCCGTCGTCGGTGAGGAGGGCGGACAGACCGAGGCCGGCGTAGACGAGAGCGGCAAGACGATCACCGTGGCCAAGGCGCCGTGGTTTTGGCTGCCCCGGGTCATGTAAGGAGGGAACAAACACACAGACACAAAAACCGTCGATTCCAAGAAAAGGGATCTAAGATCGTCGATTCCAACAGATATATGGGAGGTGGGGGGAAAGACGAAAACCGATCAAGCATGGGAAAATATAGGGGAATCCTGGGATTCGTGTGTATTTATTATTTAGGCTTACGCCACATCCGCCGACCCCTCTATAAACTATTGCGCCTCCAGGACTGCATTTCACGAGGCTTGTCCGAATCATGACACGGCGCTCGACATCGTTCCTGTTGCTTCGTTGCTGTGATCGTACCTCTTGGTGCTCTTTTGCGGCCTTTTAGTGGCCTCTTGGCCTGTCTGCAGGCCATATCCGACCGCCTCGAGGCATATTGGGCCAAGTTTGGGGGCCTTTGGGGGGCTTCCTGGGGGCTTCTTGGAGGCCTTTGGGGTTTTCTTGGGCGTCCCTCAGGGCCTCTTGGGGTGTCCTTGGAGCAGGCTGGGGGCGTCTTTGGGCCGAAGGCTTGAAAGGTGCCCTCTGGACTCCCTCTGGGAGCCGTCTGGGGGCCCTCTTGGGCTGTCTTGGGGGTTTCGTGGGCTGTTTTTGAACCCACTTCGACCCCTCTGGGGGCCCCTTCGGCCGTCCGGGGGCGATATTCAAGGTTCCTTTGCTCGTCTTGGACGTTGTGAAAGCCGAGAAGGCGAGCATTCGAAACATGTGTTTTTACCTGACAGCGAAGACTGATAGGTTTCTAGTGGGGTCAAAAAGAGAGCATCTTGACTCCCCAGGGGGGTCTGGGCGGATGCCGGGGGAATCCGGGGGATCCGGGGGCCCAGAACACTATCCCAGGCAATTCTGACTGTCCGGAGCCAACAGAACACCATTCCCAGGCCACATTTTGAATGCTCGGAGCCAACTGTAGGCCACTTCGTGTTGTTCGTGCTCCCAGAACACCATTCCCAGGCCACATTTTGAGTGCCCGGAGCCACCTGTAGGCCACTTCGTGTTGTTCGTGTTCCCAGAACACCATTCCCAGGCCACATTTTGAGTGCCCGGAGCCAACTATAGGCCACTTCGTGTTGTTCGTGTTCCCAGAACACCATTCCCAGGCATTCACATTTTGAATGCCCGGAGCCAACTGTGGGCCACTTCGTGATCTTCGTGTTCCCAGAACAGCAGTCCTGGGCTATATTTTGAATGCCCGAGCTGAGGCAGGCTGAGGCCGAGGCAGGCTGAGGCCGAGGCAGGCTGAGGCTGAGGCTGAAGCACGCCGAGGCGAGGCTGAGGCTGAGGCTGAGGCAGGCTGAGGCTGAGGCAAGCTGAGGCTGAGGCTGACGCAGGCTGAGGCCGAGGCAGGCTAAGGCTGAGGCTGAGGCAGGCTGAGGCCGAGGCAGGCTGAGGCTGAGGCTGAGGCAGGCTGAGGCTGAGGCTGAGGCTGATGCATGCTGAGGCTGAGAGGCTGACGCTGAGGCCGAGGCAGGCTGAGGCTGAAGCTGAGGCCGAGGCAGGCTGAGGCTGAGGCTGAAGCAAGCCGAGGCAGGCTGAGGCTGAGGCTGAAGCTGTGGCAGGCTGAGGCTGAGGCTGTGGCTGAGGCTGAGCAAGCTGCGGCTGAGACAGGCTGAGGCTGAGACTGATGCAGGCTGGGGCTGAGGCAGGCTGAGGCTGAGGCTGAGGCTGAGGCTGAGGCTGAGGCTGAGGCCGAGGCAGGCCGAGGCAGGCTGAGGCTGAGGCTGCAGGCTGCTGAGGCAGGGGAGGCTGAGGCTGAGGGAGGCTGAGGCAGGCTGAGGCCGAGGCAGGCTGAGGCCGAGGCAGGCCGAGGCAGGCTGAGGCTGAGGCTGAGGCAAGCCGAGGCAGGATGGAGGCTGAGGCTGAGGCAGGCTGAGGCTGAGGCAGGCTGAGGCTGAGGCTGACGCAAGCTGAGGCCGAGGCAGGCTGAGGCTGAGGCTGAGGCAGGCTGAGGCTGAGGCCGAGGCAGGCTGAGGCTGAGGCTGAAGCAAGCCGAGGCAGGCTGAGGCTGAGGCTGAAACTGAGGCAGGCTGAGGCATCCGTAGGAATCCATAGGAATACTTAGGAATCCCTGGGCATCCTTAGGAATCCGCAGTCATAGTTAAGCATCCTCAGGAATCCTTAGGATTCTTTGGAATCCTTAGGATTCCTAAGGATGCGAAGGAACCCCGATGGATTCCTAAGGTTTCTAAGGATGCTAAGGAATCCTAAGGATTCCTATGGATTCCTACGGATGCCTAAGGATGCTTTAGGAACCCCTAGGAATCCTTAGGATACCATTGGATCCTAAGGCCGTGGCCACTGCGACTGTCATTGCGTATGCGATTGCGATTGCGAGAACAGCAGAACTCTACAACTGGATTCTCACCTGAATCTTAAGGGGAATGCTTCCAGATATGCTTATACACATCGCTGTTAGGTTGCTTTACCGGGATAAGTTCAAAGGGAATGAGGCGATTGTTGTTTCTTGGGGCCCTCTCGGGACTTCTCTTGGGAGCCTTTGGGGGCGTCCTAGCAGCTTCGGAGGCCGTATGGAGGCCATCGTGGGCGTTAAGGAGCGATATTTCGGCGGCTCGTGGCCCTCTGGGGCCGTCTGGGGAGCGTTGTGGTGCCTTCCTGGCCCGTTTCGGGGCCCTCCGCTCCCCGTGGCGCGTTCAGTCCGGGGTCGGGGGCGGCCAATTGGGTGAGGGTAAAATTGCCGGTTTGGGGTCCCTGGGGGGGGATCACGGGGGGGGGATCATCTCACTCGCCTAGAGACCCACAAGGGGTCGGTGTGTGTGTGTGTGTGTCTGTGTCTGTGTCTGTGTCTGTGTCTGTGTGTGTGTGTGTCTGTGTCTCTGTGTCTCTGTGTCTCTGTGTCTCTGTGTCTCTGTGTCTCTGTGTCTCTGTGTCTCTGTGTCTCTGTGTCTCTGTGTCTCTGTGTCTCTGTGTCTCTGTGTCTCTGTGTCTCTGTGTCTCTGTGTCTCTGTGTCTCTGTGTCTCTGTGTCTCTGTGTCTCTGTGTCTCTGTGTCTCTGTGCCTGTGTGCCTGTGTGTCTCTGTGTCTCTGTGTCTCTGTGTCTCTGTGTCTCTGTGTCTCTGTGTCTTTGTGTCTCTGTGTCTCTGTGTCTCTGTGTCTCTGTGTCTCTGTGTGTGTCTGTGTGTGTCTGTGTGTGTGTGTCTGTCTGTGTGTGTGTCTGTCTGTGTGTGTGTCTGTCTGTCTGTCTGTCTGTCTGTCTGTCTGTCTGTCTGTCTGTCTGTCTGTCTGTCTGTCTGTCTGTCTGTCTGTCTGTGTGTGAGAGTGTAAGTGTGAGTGTGAGTGTGAGTGTGAGTGTGAGTGTGAGTGTGAGTGTGTGTGTGAGTGCGTGTGTGTGTGTGTGTCCCTGGGCTCCTTCATCTTGGACTCCCGGGAAGGGCGCGGAGGTGCGGGCGGGGCGCGCTCTGCAGGGATCGGGGAGAGGCCCCAAGGGCCGGTGCCGGCAGCCCCGGAGCCGCAGACCCTCGTGGTGCAGGGGGTGCTCTTTCGGGGGAGCGTAAGACCCGGGTTTGCCAGGACTCGGGTTCGCCATCGTTTTTTGACGACCGCGCCTCGGATTTTGACGAGGAGGAGTGTCGTGGGATGTCTGCAGCGGGAGGCCTCGTCAAAATGCAGGCTCGGCCTCGTCATTGTTTTGACGACCTCGTCGGGGATTTCCGAGTCCCCTGTACCCAGGTCTTACGTCCCCTTGATTCAGGAGGGACAAAAACGCACAGACACAATCCATCCTCGATTCCCCAGAAAAGATGGGAACATATGGGAAGTGGGGGGGGGAAGACAAAGACCTGGAAAATATCAGAACATGTGGGGAATCCTGCTATTTGTGTGGATTTATCTGAGTGTCCCAGGGCCCCTTCAGCTCTGAGGTGTTCGGGAGGGTTGTGAGGCTCCCAAGAGGTTTCCGAGCGTACTGCTCGAGGGCTCCGTGATACCAAAAGCCTCCAAAAGGAGATTCAACGATGAGAAGGAGGGGGAACGAAAAGGAGACCAAGGATCGGGCCGAACCAAAAGGGGGGATAGGGAAAGGGGGGGTTACGAAATCTGCTGCATGCAGCTGGTTTCAGCCCCGCCGCGGGGCCAATACCTCGATACATGGGCGCCTCCTAGCGCCGGGAGGCGCCGGGAAAATCAGCTACGTGAGCCAGGGCCCCTTCAGCTCTGAGGTGTTCGGGAGGGTTGTGAGGCTCCCAAGAGGTTTCCGAGCGTACTGCTCGAGGGCTCCGTGATACCAAAAGCCTCCAAAAGGAGATTCAACGATGAGAAGGAGGGGGAACGAAAAGGAGACCAAGGATCGGGCCGAACCAAAAGGGGGGATAGGGAAAGGGGGGGTACGAAATCTGCTGCATGCAGCTGGTTTCAGCCCCGCCGCGGGGCCCATTCCTCGATACATGGGCGCCTCCTAGCGCCGGGAGGCGCCGGGAAAATCAGCTACGTGAGCTGATTCTCCCCCCCCCCTTTGCTATCCCCCCCTTTTGCCCGGCCCGAAAGGAGGAGGAGGAGGAGGCGATCATTGCGGGCCTTAGTGGTTTCCGTATGACTCCGAGTGCCCACGGCTGGATCACGAGGCTACGTCGAACCCTCTCAGCGCACTCGTGCGGCCGTCTTCGATGCTCTCGGACCATCCTCGACTGGCTCTGACAGCATCGTGGACTCTCTTGGCTGCAAAAGGCAACGCCATCTACAGTCAAAAGCCATAATAAGGACGCGCGACTTTGCTCAGGGTACCCTCGCGTCCTTGCTCTTCCTTGCTCTGGCGTCCTTGAGGTTTTCGTCGTCCGCCGCCCCAAACATCCCAACTTCGGCTTCCAAGGGTCTCCGAGTTTTTATGTTTATGTCACTCTTCGTTCCCCTATTGGAAGCCACTTGGCTATCTCGGAGTGTATCTTCTGCCACGTTAGCCGTTACGGAGGCCACTATAAGTCGTCTCGGGGCTGCATCGGTGTACTCTCGTGGCTTCCTGGGCTGACGAGGCT